CGGCCTCTTATCCCATCGCCCCGGGGCAACGTTTTGGCTGAGATGTATGGCCTCTCCGCGGGTAAAAATATGCATGTTGATCCCCATTTGGCTCCCCGTCTAATGGAAGTGCAAATAGGTTTCGACTGCGAGGCCCTCCATTTATCATCAACGCTGACACGGACGGACGTACAGTGGGACTGAGGTGGGTAGCTCAGGGTGGGAGCTCCCGAGAATGAATGCGCGTTCACGCGTGTGTGTGTGTGTGTGTGTGTGTGTGTGTGTGTGTGTGTGTGTGTGTGTGTGTGTGTGTGTGTGTGTGTGTGTGTGTGTGTGTGTGTGTGTGTGTGTGTGTGTAGTATAATAGGCCAACGATTTTTGCTCAATTCTACTTTTTTCATTTTCTGTTTTCTCTGAAAACAAATGTGTTTTTAAACGATTACGCATACAAAAAAACAGTTCAATTAACATAAATGCATCATAAATCTATTAACATTTATCAATATGTTCATTTGTTTACACCTGCAACCAATCACACAAGTTTGAGGGAATACACATCAGCTATTGATTTGACTTTTTTTTTTTAGCAAAATTCAGTTATCTGCAAATCAAAATAACTGCTTCTCAAATGCATGTTTTCAGACTCTTTCCCCCCTTATTTTGCAGTGGAAGTAAACTTTGCTCGCTTTAAGCCTGCCACTAGCTGTACCCACCTTTTACATTTACCCCTACATGTCTGGTTAGCCTGTATCCTCTCCCCATATCAAATTCATCACAATAGCATTGCTCATCACTGGGAGCCAGTGCTGTTATTGTCATTCATAAGCCTCTCTCTGCTCCAGGCACTGGGCCCTCCTGGCAGCCCTGCTCAATGCTTCGATTATCAGACCGTCATTATGTAAATTGGAATGTACAGTGCAACTCTCTGATCCGACTAAATTAGGAAAAATGTTATTTGCTACACAGCCCTGAGGGGCAGGGGTCGACCAGACAGTCTGCTCTTGCTGTGTTACAGTGTAAACTGTCAGAGGGCGAGGGACGTGTTTAATTTGCACTGAGCTGTTATAATGAAGGATATTCGTTGTCCATGAGCCAGAGTGATATTTAAAGGTAATTCAATGTCTGATTTTTTTTTTATGGTAAATAATGTCACATTATGGTTATTTTTGTGAGAATGCATAAAAGACATAACCGTAAAACCTTAAGAAAACAATATAGAAATAACCTTTACATTTGTATAACTTTAGAGAAGCAGGAGTAGGCTACCTCTTATTTTGGACAGCTGATTTAGCTGTCTGGAAAAAAACATACACTTGTTAAGTGTTAGACTTTTATTTAGTTTTTGTATTATTTGTAATGAGTCCGTTTTGAATTGTTATTCTCAGGCCAGGTTGCATTGTGGGTTACACACTGAAACGTAGCCCTATACCAGATTTATTCAATAGGTCTATTTATATTGCTCTTCTTTCCAAACAATTAATTATTATTATCTTATTTTGATACAGGCACAATCACAACACGTGTGTCTTTCCTTTCACTTTACAAACACAATATTTTGATCCAGAGGGATTGACAATTTAAAGTCTAATAAAAAATGCAAACCAGTTCAACATGAAACATTAAAGCATTAATGAATAACGTTTTGTTTTTTAAATGCAACATGAGAAAAATGTGTGACTAAATAAAGAGATGAAGAAAGTGTTTACCTCTTGTGGAGACCGTTGTACTCTCCGTCAGTTCCCTCAGTAGAGTCCGAGCGGCGCTGTCAGGTTTCTCTTCCGCTGCCGTTTGTTTTGAATGCCCACTGCTGTCTGTCCTTTTGTCCGACAGTAAGAGAAGGAGTTTGGGCAAAGTAAAAATCATCCAGAGTCTGTTTCTTCACTTCAAGTCCGTCCGCTGGTGCTCCACCTGCTCATGTGAGAAGCTGCCATCTGCTGGTCCGCGAGAGCCCGGTGGAGGGACTTTAAGGAGAGCCTCGCGGGGGTCATGCTCGCTTTCTATTGGCTCTCAGGACTGTCAGTCAAGTCATTAAGGCAGCTGATCGTCCAGCGGCAGACTGTCGCACTGACTTCTGGAGTTATTTTTCAAATATGATCAATTTAAGTACATTATGTCCGCTAAATTCCACCGTGTCCGTCTACACCTTTTTTTTTTTAAATTATTGATAACATTTGAAGCTATTATCCTCTATCTCATTTGGCAAAACATGTTTAAATATTGATTTGTAATCGACATAAATAGGATGAACTTGATATATTTCTAAATCTGTATTTATCTATTAAATATTTATTGTAATAATTGCATGCATTTAAACGAGAATAAAGAAAACGTTCCTGTTTAGCAGTTTATCTGAAATATAAATTAAACTTTAAGATATTTCTTTTTTAATAAAAAACACTTTAATCTAATTTCATGAGTTTCAATGATTTTATTTTATTTTTTCAAATCTCCTATCCTCAAACGGACACTTGGATCATGAATCCAATTGCTTCTCCTTGGTTTTTGTGAGGAAAAGAAACCAGCCTTTATTTTGTTTGCTTTTCGGCTTTTTCCTGCATGCCACTGGAGGAGAGAGACTTTAGAGAGATGGCTAATAGATGCCAGGGTGCTGCCTTTAGACTCTCCCGGCCTGGAAGGATTTGGGATGGGATAGGGAAGACAAGACGCCATCTCAGCCTCCAAAAACCCCTGTCTTAAAATGACTGCGGGTAAGAGGATTAGGGCAATAATGCCCTTCTCTTTTTGAAGGGTTTTTAGAGAAGATTTCTTCCCCCGGAGCAAAACCGTTTAGGTAGGGAATTAAGGGCAGCGCAAAGTAGCCTTTTAATGTAAAGCTTGCATATTTTGTTGGGAGATTCTTTGGGAAAGTGCTTGGCCTATAACGCAGTTTTATCTCTGACCATGTTTCTCACTCTGAACACGTTTGAACAGTAGACAATTTCATCGAACAGAGCATATTTATTTCAATGCGTTTTGAGGCACATTAAAACACAATTCAGCACCCAAATACACTGTTTACAGTCAGTGTTTTGGGACATTTATCATAACGTTTAAAGTTATGAGAGAAAGAGATGAGGCACTCGAGGTGAAGTGGGTCTTTATTCTTAAAATAAGTATGTTTTTTTTTTTACATCTAAAAAGTATCGTTGGACTATTTTGAAGTATAGCTAAAAACTGTCATATATATTAGCTTACAATAACATAATTGATTTGAATGTTGAACTAAAAAACGACAGAACTAAATGAATAGGCTATAGGCTACACAAATTATTCACTTTTGCGGTACACTAAATTGTTACACGATTATTATAATAGCCTTTTTTAACGTGAGAACAATATATATTCAATGCGTTTATTTGCTTAAACATTGATTAAGACTATTTGAGTCAAATGTAATTTGATTGTTATCATTATTATTGCTTTTTTTATTATTATTATTATTGTTATTATTATTAACTGTGTAATTGATGTCTTCGAAATGTCATCGCCGTGGTGCGTCTTTGCTTCTAAATCTGTTTTGTTTTTTTAAACCACCCAAAACTTTTTGTGCCTCAAAGTCTTTCCCCTTTTGCCTGGAAAAACTCGTGTGCCTCTGTGGTTTCTGTCGCCTTGGTAGGCTCCTATCACTCGGTTTCTCTCCGAGGTCTGAGAAAGAAAGAGGATTAACTTGTGAACCAATGGAAATAAGAACTTAAACGGGAGGTAAATCTGGCCACTGTCTCTTTGTGAGGACCGTCTCTAAAGCAATTAAAGCGAGAAAGAGTTTCTTCTCAGCGCCTCTCCACCTAAAGCTCCTTAGAGAGACTAGAGCTGTCCAGCGCATCTGAAGGGCTTAAACGCCAAAAAAACAGCTCCCCTTACCCCTGTACCCATGCACTGCTGAATACAAGGTGGGTAAACAATGACCTCTAGTTAACGAATAACCAAAAATAAAAATATAATTCTTTTTTTAATATAGCAAAGGAATTGTGGTTGATTTGGAATGTTCCCATAACCTCTTGTAGATAAAACATCTGGTCTAATATAGATTTCTGTTGTTTCCTCATTGATTTCCTGCCAGGTTTAACCCTTTTTGAAAGCAGTTTTATTCCTTTTATCAAACGCATATCTAGAGTCTACTTTCTCCTCTTGTCTCAGCCTGTATTTGATAGAGGTATTTGACCAAAACCATCTCTAATGCCGGTGAATTCTGCTCTCTAATAGCTAATTAATACTCTTAATGATGTTTCTGCAACTTCATGAATACATTAGGGCTGCAATCCAGCAAGCCTCAGCCTCCCCGGCACCATTCAAGGGTATTTCAGCATCTGTTCATCCCAGGGCAATTAATCATTTTGATGTGTAGTTTAAAATCGACTTCTTGCGGGAGACCTTTTTTTTTTTGACAAGAATAACAAAGCAATTTGCCAGGAGCCACCTCTTAGACAGTTATTAGCAGCACTTCCATAGCAGGACCTGCCTTTCTATTTATTTGAAAAAATGTGTTGGATAAATGCATTTAAAAAGACAGCGACAGTTTTTGCGGTTTATTTTCAGCACCACGCCTCTGAATCCTCCTGAAATCCCTTTTATTGGTGACAAGATCTCAGGATCTGCTCTGCAAATCCCTCCTCTAAAAGTTTCAACCTGTCAGTTTCCTCTAAAAGCTGAATAATTCCCCTTTTTTTTCTCTCTCCATCCATCCCCTTCTCTCTTTCTTCTTGCCCTCTTTTCTCCCTTGTCTCAGCTCTTCTGTCTCATTTCTTTTCCTTGCCTTCTCTCCTCTCTCTCTGTCGCTCTCTGGCCCGGATCCCTCTGCACAAGGGGCCCCATTGTGTAGTCCTAATCCAGAGGCAACACAGCTTTAGGGACATGCAGGGATAAAAGGCCCATTAAGCCCACAACTTTATGGGGGCAAATCTCTCCCTAATCCTTCGCTTTATCTAAACAAAAGCCCCTCTGCCTTAATCCACCTATGTGTTGAAAAAGAAGAGAAGAAAAAACTGGAGAGAGTGTCAGAGAATGAGGGAGAAAAGGAGAGGAGAGAACAAGAGGGAGAACGAAATCTCACACACTGTAGGATTGAACGAGGAGAGATCATAGAGGGAGGGTCTAAAGTTTCCTGGAAGACCTAAGTAATAGTGACAAGCTTTCACCTGCATGGAGGAACTCTCACATGTGTTAACTACAACTGCTGCTGCACGACTGGAGTGCATCGTGATCCCCTGAAGGACACAATTCATATTTTGACCATAAACCCACAAACACATCACAAAAGCATGGACACCGTTGAGGAAATTATGAAAAGCGTGGTATTAAAGTTGACCAATAGGGCTCTGGTGTTCAAAATTTATTTAGATTATGAGGTTTATTCTCAAAAGAGCTTTACCCGTTCAGCAGGAAGTTGTTGGATGAAGGTGACAGCAAGGTCACATAAGGATAGAGTACAGCTATGCAAGAAATTAAACTTGACATGATTATAAATATATAATTTAACAGACATATAGATTCAAATCTGGCAAACATGTTTCCAACTTGATTGCAATTGAAAAGATAGGTTTGTACTTCTATGAGCATTAGAAATCTTAAATAATTGTTGACGAGTCTTTTTTTTGTTGAAACCCTGTGAAACAACTTGGGAATATTTGCAGTTTTTTCAAATGTGTGGTTGGATTTTTAGTAGTGAGACAGCCTGTTGTTGATATTGATAACTTATTTTTGTGATTAGTTTTCTTCATTATGGATATCAAGCTGAAAACTGCATATCTATGAAACTGAGCTCACAGATGTTCATTTAGGTTCGGACTTGTTTTGTCCATTCACCATTGATTGTTCTTAAATATGAGTTGTTTTCCATATTCCACACTAAGTTATCAGCTACTAATATCATTTGAATAAGGTCCAAACAATGTCGGTAAGACAAAGAGTCAAGACATTTTTTTTTCTTGGCATTTCAGCTCGTGAGGCTTTTACTGTGTCTCCTGGGACTGATGGGATATGATCTTTTTTAATACAAAAAACAATGTGTTAAATCTTACTTACCAGTAAAATATTGTATACATGTTTTTTTTTAACAGTAGAACAAGTCCAGCACCAAAGAAAGTTTGATGTGTGTGTCGCAGTCAAAGGATTCTCCAACTGAATATTCCAGATACAGTTTAACTCGGGTGTGGCCTCTTTCACCCTCTGGTAATATTGACACAAGGTGTGGCCTCCTTTGCCCCGATTCCAATTAAAGAAATGGGTTCACGAGGCCAAATCTTAACAGTGATGACAAAGCTAAAGCTCCTCTGTGGAGCCAGAATCCCTTCTCTTCCTCTAAAACATCTGTCTTTACCACAGACAATCCCACAGTATCTGCTCCAGCACACAGACTATCAGAGCCTAATCTGGAGTGGGGTTTAGCAGACTGAGAGCTCAAGTCTGATGGTTTAAGTCGGAGCTCAGAGGGATAGGTGGAGATACCGGCTGATACCTGCTGCATTAGGGGTAAATACTCACACTAAAACTTAGCTGAATGTGATGAGTGAGTCGAATATCTTGAGTTTGATTTTGGTGATGATTTTCCTTCTTAAATACCCGTTTGAACTGTGGTTTATTGGCTCCTTTCAGAATAAAATGCGCACCAATCTGTAAAAACTTCAAAAGCATCACACTTCTTTTACTTTCAGCATGGCGCTCATCCTGTTTCCTTCATTAACACTCTCAATTACCGTCTCCTCTCCGGCTCCGCTCCCTCCTAATAGAGCTAACACAAAGTTAATGAAGCGAATAGTTGGGACAATTTAGTCATTAGAGACAATTAAGTCAATCCATTGCAATCCAACTCAGACCAGGAGAAAAGGAGAGTAGTCTGGGAGAAATCCAACAACCAGCCACCCAAACCAAGCACAGATTCCTCTGCCGAGTCAGCCAGTGTCGAGAGAGCTTTCCACCGGAT